TTTTTTCTCAGGGAAAATTCCTTCATTGTCGGAGGTCTCCGGGCAAGAAAGTAGTCGCTTGGTGGGGGTGTTAGGAACATTTGCATAACTGTGTGTAGGAAAGGGAAGGATAGCAGTGGGTAAAAGCTGCTTATTGTGTGACACTTTTAAAGGAAGGGGAGTGCCTGAGAGATAAGAGACAGCCTGGGGCATGTTGTACTCTTACCTTGTATGGCACCTTTCAGGCAGCATCAAGGCAGTTACCTGTACCCCATCACTTTCCTTAGCTTTCATAGCTGTCAAAATGTACTGCACCTGCACGAAACCTGTAATGTATTGTGTATAGCACTTCGGCAGAACGTCTCATATAAGGTCGAATTGGCGTATATAAGGTTGATATCCCGTCTGTAGTTTCCAAATGTTGTGTCGGAAAAGATATCCTCCGCAACAGGCAAAATTCGGATGTAACGGTGACCAAACATGCAACGAAAACCATGAAAATTAGGCTTTTGCATAGGTGCAGTACATTCTGCCAGTACAAATCATCAAGTGTCATGTGATGTGATGAAATTGGAAGTGTTTTAAGGACAAAGGTTTAAAGACATGCTTTCCTTTGGAATCCTTGAGTTTAAAGGTTACGTTACGGACAGGTAAAAGCAAAAGAAGCAAATGTTATATGTACAGTAGAAAGAAAGGAATGCAAAGCATACCAAGCACGTTTTACCAGATACAAAGATTTATTATCATCTGTTGACCAAGATAGCAACTTTGACTTTAGGTTGTAAAAAAAATGTCAAAGAGGGAAGAGGCCTGTTGTATTTCACTTTTCTACAATCGTTTCCAGCAAAGTGCCTTTATAATGAGGGTCAATCTATTCTAAACAGGTACTTGGGCACCCTGATCTTGTTGTTTTGTGTGCCTGTCTGCGTTTCCAATATCTTGAGCCAACAATTGTACAAGTCTCAGTCAACAACCAGCCACCATCCCCGGATTACTAGACTCCAACCCCTATCACCTAGGAGCTGCCGGGACGCTGCGCACTACCGAGCGAGAGAACGGAGCTATTGTTCTACCCCGCTTTGCATGTAAAAGCCGCCCAATTTATTTTCTCAAGTAGACCCTGCTTGAATAGGCTTTCCGGGGGACAATAGTTGAAGCAGGCTCGCTACATGCGACCGAGAGCTTTCATACATACACGGGAAAGTGCTCCACCAACAAACATCAAAATGGCCCGTGTTTGGCAGCTTGTTTAAACTTCACTCGCGGGTGTTTAGGGGCTTCAAGTGCGGGGAGTTTTGAAAACTGTTCACGAGAGCGTAAACAAACCCCATCCAAACCTACCGATCCATACGGCTTCAAATCACTTGCAATGAATATTAAACACGTTCCAGTAGCGCTGGAGTGTTCTAGCCGGTGAGAAAGCCACTCCAGCTACCAAGTTTCCAACCAGCCTATGTTTATGGCATGGCATACCTAAGGACTCTTTCACTGTAATTTATGTCCAATCATTTGGGATGTTATCTGTACTTGTTGCTCCCTAATAACAGTAAGATGAGATGGCCAGTCATTGACTGCTGTGCCCCTGGGATATCAAATATGCATGAGCCATGTAAATGGGCATCCCAGTGCTATTAGCATGGGGAATGCGCCCGGCTTTGTAGTCTGGTCTAGTACAGGAACGCATGGTCTACCCAGAGGGACACAAACCGACACCTGTAGCTGAATTCTCAATCAGTATGCGGGAGGGGACCACGCCGCCGCCTCACAGGTAAATCACAGCAAACCAGAGGGGCTAAATTGTGAGTAGATAGCAAACACCGGTGTCCTCTGCAGGCGAATAAGCTATTTGGCAAACACTGCGAAGTTGTTGTGTATGGAATTAAGCAGCATACTAGGATAAAGGATTTGAAGTACTTGTAGGGAACAACGTATGGCTTACAAGTGTTTTGAAGTGCTGTTTAGAACTCACAAACTTCTTCTGAACTGTTGCCATCCTTATAAACAAGCGGTGGGTTGTGGAACAGAGCAGACGGTTCGTTTTGTTCGTGAGAGGGCTCTCCTGTCTTGAGAGTTGTCACCGTGTTTGTAGGGTGTTTGTTGGCTGGAATTTGCTGGAATTTGGGTCACCTCCGCTGGCAAAGTTTCAACAACAGAATCATTATTCCTAAAACATCCTGCAGACTTTTGGATAAAGCAAGAACTCCTCTGTCCCCCTGTGGCATCCTAGGAATTTGTTTTGTATCAGAGCAGACTGTAACAGTTTCTAGAAGTTTTAACTTGGTTAGTTCAGTTCTTATTGTATTCAACTAACAGGACTACATATATTTTTCAAAATATACTTAACACTTTGTAGGGATGTTGGGAATATATACAATGTTGCTAGCTTTGGAGGAATGTTTGCATTTTGAAACGTACCCTCCCCAGACCAATTCATTATTCAATTCTGGGTTTATTCAGTTGGAAACAATTTGGATACACAGAAAGCAGTTGTGGCAGGAAGCACAGTTGACTTGCTCTCACCCTCCCCACCCAAAAAAGAACTGGTTCCACTTTTTTCCTTTCCAGTTTTAGGTCTACTGTCCTTCTATGCAAGGTTTATAACTTTGTGCTCTTTGTGAAATGTACAAGGAATAAATTAAATGATGAATGAGAATGGGGCAGTATTTTTGGACTGCAAATTTGCTTTGGGTATTTCTTCATGTAAGAAACTCAAGTGTTGAAACTTCACAACTAAGTAATAAGTCTGGAATGTCTTGAACTGTAAGTATTCTCTTATTCCTTGAGTTCTAAGGAATGTAGCAGTAAGTATTTATGTAGGTCAACATAAAAATTCAAGTTTTAAGATTGTGATAGATATTACAAGTCATGTCAATATAATCTCTCTTGGTGGCACATAATGATAAGTACGTGGGTAGCAGTGTAACAGATCGTCTAGAAAAATAGGAGCATGGGAATTTCTCACAATTCCCTAATCTCCCACCTTTTGGAGAATTAATCCCATTATTACAGTTATTTGCACCTCCTTTAAAGTGATAATGAGTTTTTCACAACTGCTGCTCATTGGTGGATTTGGCTTCTTGTATCATGAGGTTTAATCAGTTGCCGTAAGACCAAAATAACCGCAAAACATATGGCTGCATTAAATGTGATTTTGTTGGAACTGATTGTTTTCAAGAAAGGTCGCAAATACGAACTCAAATACAGAAAGAAAGTAGCATTATCCACGGCAGCTCTCTTTGTACATACGAGGTTGAAACAGCACCACCATTGAGAATTCAGCAGCAGTTTCTTCAGTTCCCCTGCAGTAAGTAAGCCAATGTTTACTTTTAGCAAATATCTTGTGTTGACCAAAGTGTTTTAGATGTTTGACTCAAGGTTGTAGTTGTCCTTTTCAAGTGGTCGTGACCAAACATGAAGCCATTTGTCATGCGGTTGTCAGTCTGTCTGTGGCCGATGTGTTTGGAAACTTGTCCAGAGTTCTGTCAGCCATGTTGTTTTCTGTCTTCTTGTTGTGATAGTATGTTGGATTTGAATTTTGATCAGTTTTTGTGCTTTTTTGGGGAGGGGGGCAACTTGAAGATGATTTTAGGGCAAATGGGGGTATTTTAAGGATTTCTGGGGTGATGTTTTGGTCAGAATTTGTGGACTTACAGTGATAGAAGTATTCAATCTGTATTTTCCACTTTTCTCAAAATCTGTTCCCAAGGTATATGCTGAAAGTACTAGATAAATTGAGATATACTTTTCCTGTTTTATCCTAAGAAAGATTCTAACTATACATTTGTAGTATTGACTAGGCCCCTGCTATAGTGCTTGCAGACTTGACTAGCCAAGCAAAGGGCTCCATAGAGTGGAAAATATTTTTTTACTCAGCAATATGAATCCTTGACTACCATCCTATAAAAACCCTATCATTTTTGTTTCTCTTAGTAGAGTCTTCCATGCTGCATACTGACTATCTATGAATTTAGATCGTGGACAGTGTCAGTATCTGTTGACATGAACTTGACAGACAGCTAGGTTCAGGGTCACAAAAGATGGAGGTCTCCCTGATGATCAGCTTACAGCTAGTGTATAAAGTTAGACTCCAGTAAAGACATCTGGCCATGACCCATGTTTTACCTCTATATCACCGGTCCCTTTCTGTTCCATGTAAAAACCTTAGGGGGAGGGCAGTTTAAAAAAGGTATCAAAATTAGAAGTTACGACGAAAAGCAGATAATGTACATTCATTGAAGTTTGTGGCACTGAAAATAAAGAGTTTGCAGTATCGTGGAGTTTGCAGTAGTCTCAGTAACACAGTGAAGGACAGAGTATATATTTCATGTATTAGAATGTTGAGTTTGCAGTGAGAGTTTGCTGATACAAAGCAGTAACAGAACAGAAAGTAAAATGTTCAAGAGTACAGGAAGAGGGGATAAAAAAATTATTTCCCCACCCCTCCTGACGTAAAAATGGATTAGCCGTGAGTCAGCCTTGCCAAGAGAGAGAGAAGATAGGTTGCTCAGCTAGAGAGGTTGTTGACTGTCTATAAATTCTCTGGAGAGGCCAGACAGCCTTTTGATCACTCAACCAGATGTACCAGTGGTATTTTTGCAATCTTTCTCCAAATAAATCTTCTTTTCCCCACTTATGTTTGGGTCATTCCATTGCAAAAGTCGCAGAGGAGGCTGTCCCTATTTTTTTCCTTCCACCCAGAATATGTACCGTATAACACCATAGTCTCATAATCCACTTATGCCCCCTCCCCTCTTATTTTGGGAAAGAAAATTAAATTTGCAAAAACAAAAAAAATTGCAGGAAATGGAGAATTTGTTCATGGAAAGAGCAAAATTAAGACTTATTTCTGGGTTTGATTTAGACTCTACAACTAGTACAAGTACACAGCTGCAACAACTCAAACTTGGTAATTGCTTTCCCTCTTCTCTAGGTGAAGCCAAGTCCGCGGAGACTGCGATAAAGAAGGAGGCTGCGTCGTCCAGCGAGTACGCCCACCCGAGGTTGGAGCCCAGCAGGCCTGGATTCCCCCACCCACCGCTCATATCTGAACACAGATCCACCTACCCCTACCCGTCCTTCGGATTGGACCCCAGGAATGGATATGTGGACCCACATTTCAGTAAGTTCAAGCAGTGCTGTGTACTGCTTCCGGACTTATAAAAATGTTAAGGTTCAAATCCAAAGAAAAACTCTGAATGTTGGGAACCAGTTCCGGACTTACAAGAAAACAAAATAATGTCACATTCCCTTTTTCGTTCTAAGCCACTTAAAGTCTTCCACAGATCAAAAAATTTGTACTGCAAAGTGAAGAAATCGGGGCTGAGAAAAAGCAGTTTTTGTGGCCACATGGTCAGCTTGTAGAGGTGGTCGCTTGGGCACGTGGGCATACACTCTTCAATATTCCAAAATGTACTGCAGCGGAAGTTCTATATTTCGGGACAAGTCTATTACCATGGCAGTATTTCTCCTGAGAAGAGCAACAGGAACTATGGTTAACATCTCAGACATCTTGTGGTCAGTTCTGTGTCATTCAGACCCTTTCAAGGAAGTCTCTGAGTCACTACAGTTTCCTTCCTCGGCCAACTGACCAGTCACTGAGCAGTCATGTTTTTCTGCTCTATCCACCCACTCACGAGGGCGTGATAGGGGTTTTGTAGAAATTACACAATCTTTCCTCATCGCTTTGAGTAAGGAATCAAACCCTGATCAAATTGTCTTTTTGTCTGAATTGGTGAAACTTTTTGAAGCCAGTGTAGCACAAGTTTCTTTGCTGGGAAAGCTAATGTAACTAAGTTGAGAATATCACAAACCCCTGTGTGTGTTTTTTTCTGCTATCATACTGAGTCACCAACTGTCATAGGAAATAAGTTGCACATGGATTGGTAGGTTACAATGTAGTTGTGTAGACATGGCAAAAGCATGGAAGTAGACAAAGGTAGGTGGAATAAATTGTGATACCGTGTTGTGTAGATCTGAAACCTTGAACTAAATGAATGTGCAATGAATATTGTTTTTTTTTTCAATAGTACAAGAGCAAGAACATGGTCGGTTTCTTTTCATAACAAGTTAAACAACTTCAAATTTACTGTTGACTGAACTAGAAAATAGATCAGTAATTGTATTCATGATGACATGCTCTAAGTGTTGTTTAGACAGGTGACATGAAAACTGCCAGTGTGTAACAGTGGCTAGTGTGTAGGTCACACCTGCAAAACAGCATAATTGTTGCTCTTTTCTATGACTTAATTAGTTTTACAACCGTCCCATGTGACTCACTCATTTAATGGTGCCTGAGGCAAGATTTTTTTGTTAGTTCGCTTTGCTAAATCCTTCCAATTAACTAAATCTAACAGGATTCGTACCAGGAGCTGAGTTGAAATTTGAAACGTGATGACTGTTTGGTTTCCTTCCAAACTTTCCTCCATTGATGGTCTAGCTAGCATCTAGTATGTTACAAGAATTATGTTCCACCCCCCTCCCCGTTAGGTCATGTATTGTGCTCAGCCATTCAGGAAATGGAACTAAATGGTTTGCCGTAATTACTAGATTGTAATGAATGATTAAACATTGAGTGATAGTTACTTGTTCAAGCATAGATGAAGTAGTACCGAACAAAAGATTTTAAAAGAATCTACCAAAGAGGTCATTACATACTTGTTACAGGCAATATTTTTGAGCTGGATGTGAGAAATAGTGAGAATTTTTGGGGGGACTGTATACAGAAAACCACATTGTGTCAGGTGAATTTTTCTTCTGCAATATTCAAAATGTCTCTGCAAAATGCAGACTGCAGATGGGTATTTCTAACACTGCTGATAGTTTACAACAATTAGCCTACTCAAACTACACATGATAAAACTAAAGCATGGAAGGATGTCAACTCCACTGTTCCTAGATCTGGCGATATCCGTGTGGGTTCTCTATTAATCATACACTCCATACGTCGCCCTACAATCGATAAGATGTGAAAAAAACCACTGAGGCATTCACAATAAGAAAGCAGTGTGCATTAAACTCTGACCCTCCCGGCATTATCACTCAGTTTCCACTGTCTGGGGACAGTAATCCTTTAAAGATGATAGCTATACCAGTATATTAGCTGTCAGGTCTGTATAAGTCATAAGGTAGGGTCTGTCCAGGGAATAAGACTGTTACAGTGTACCTGTACACTAGCAACACTCACTGAAAGAACTAGAAATATTTGAACCAGCCAAAAGTTGGTTGGAAGACTGTCCGATGATAAAATGTGCTTTTTCAGATTAATTTTTGAAAGGTTTGAATTTTGTTATTTAAACTAAGGCCACACCAAGTAAATTTTATGGATGACGTCCGCGCGCGCATTGATTTTGGCCTGTTCCTAGAAAAAAAAACAAGAAATTCCGCTTCCTGTAACTATGACCAAAGAGTCACGACAGTGCCGCAAATCGTCAGATTGACATGAAACCCGTAACGCGAAAACAGGACAGGACGACAACTGCTGTTCCACCTGTTTTGATGATGAATAAAAGACTTCTTGCTTCTTACACTGTGTCACCTCATTCAATTTGTGTCCTAACATTTGTTGTCTCCTAGTATATTTCTAATCTAGGCATCTTGTTTTTTAGGGCCCTTCTTGTTTTTTTTTCGCCCTCTCGCATTAGATTTAGGGTCTCCAAAGGACGTCATCCATAAGATTTACTTGGTGTGGCCTAATTTGATTGTTGTTGGTAAAGATTTTTTCTGACCTTGAGGTAACGATATAGTACTATTGAGATGCGTTTGTACAAAAGTAGTGAATGCCTTTTCTTTTTTTATCCCGACAACTAAGTCAACCGGGCAGCAAAGCAAGTTAATTTTCGCTGTCAATTTTTACACACTTTTCAAAGGAATTGGGAAAAAAAGACATTAATATTTGATATCCCTAATATCTAATATGGTCCAACTCAAAATGAAGATTTTCTTTGCAGATTTTGATTTGTTTTGAGATACACTGGTAACACTGTTGCATACAGTTGTAACTGCATCCAAGAGCACACCCTCCAAGTAGGACGCTTGTTAGACTATTCCTCTGGTTCATATAAAAGTCTACAACTCTTTTAAGAGTGATAGCTGGTCGGACCTCCCTGGATTCACGGGAAGACCTACCGTGGCGCGTGGGACCGCGTCTGTCAAGACGTGATTGCTCATCAGCTTTGCTCGCCGTGCCCAGCGCGGGAAACCGGGAAGTGGATGAAAAGAGCGTCAGGTGTCTGGCTGTTTGATGCGCACGCCGGGATTTCACTTGTTAAAAAGAAGATTGCGTTTTGCGGCTGTCTGATGGGCCTACAGGGAGGCTCTACTCAGGTGGCAGCTTTTATAAGCTGTTTCCTTTTTTTGAGGATCATCTTCTCAAAGTTATTAGTGAAGTCATTGGCAAGGTCCCTGCAGAAAAGATGATTTTTCAATTACAAAAGATTTTCTTGCTGGCATCCATATTTTGTAATGACAATTGAGTGTTTCAAAAGGTTTCAGAGTGACATCTCGATGTTAGATTGTACTTGCATTTGTACCGTGTACCTTTTTTGTCCATATTATAACTTCTTGTAGTAATTTATACTGGTAGGTAGGTCAGGTAGGAGCTTTAAAATTCTGGTTTGGGTCGATCTTCATTTGATTGACATTTGTGGTGTCGTTGGGTAATGTACTAGTAGTTGCACACTACCTGTCTTGCTTTTATGGTTACTGATGTAATTAAATTATACATGTACTTCTTAATAATTATGCAATTTCGTATGGGTTTAGTAAGGCTTATAGGTGTATGGTCGAAGAAAGTATTTCCAAATAGCAGAACAAAATTTTGACATGCTGCAATATTGCAGAACACTGCAAAAAAGTATTTGTTCCACTAGAGATTGGAAAGACGTGAGACAGACAATAGACATGTAAATGCCCACTCCAAACTTCCCACCCTGCCTCTCTTCAGGGAGAAGAGTTGATTGCACAAACCCGGGGAGAACAATGGAGTAACCTCCTGTTGCTGCGTTATGAACTGCCTGCCTGCTGGAAATGAAATTTCGTCCTCAAATCATCGTCCCATCCCCCCGGTGGCACTATATCTCCTTTCTATTGAATTTGATATCAATTTTCATTCAGCGCCGCAGATTGAAGCAAAGTGGAGTATTATTACTCGGGATCCCGACGCCCACAGGGAACCGCAGAGTGCAACGCAAAAATAATGGCGGGGAATTTCGTCGGGCTCCGGCGCGACCTGAGGGACCCGGGACAACTTATCAGGGCCGGATTGAACACAGACAATGGGTCCGCGCGGGGATTGCAATATGGGAGATCTTATTACACAGGTCTCACGAGAAATATGGGCTATTGGATGCGAGCGATTGCTTGTGAAGTGCAATTTATGATGGAGTTATGACAGTCAGATGAGGGCAGTTAGGGGTGTATTAATGGGATCCTTGTTTAGATGAGTGCAGCGATACTTCATTCCTGTGTAATACCACAGAGGTGGAGCACAGCAGGGAGGCGGCAGGACGATATGAGCAAAGCTCTGACTAGATGGAAGATAATCAAGGGAAGGTGAAGAAAGTAAGGAGTAGGAAATACACTTCTGAAATTTTAAAGGATTTCAAAGAAAAGAGTGTTGTATTTATCAAGCAGTAGTATCAGCCTTTTCATGTTTTTGTATTTTGGTTGATGATATTGTATTTAAAATGTTACAGATTAATACAGAAGCAAAGTTATTATATATACTTGTGTGAATAGGTGGAAAGTATTGTAAATTTATAATTTATCTCCTTTCTTGGTAGAAGAGCAAAGAAGGTTTTCACCGTGTTTCAAGTTTGCGGTTTGTACTACAGTTAACGTATTTGCAGTGATATAATTTTATGGTGAAGAGTTTGCTGCAAGAACTGCCAAATTCCTAACACTTCTAAATTCGCAATATATAAAAGTTCTCAAGGACAAGAATTTGCATGCTGAAAGTTGAGTAGTTTCCTTCTTTGAAAAAAAGATTGATGTACATGTAGTTGGCTGCTAGCCGTTGTCATTTTCTCCACCCAATGCATGATGGGAAGGGAAGTTGATAACCTTGTTGGGAGATTGTTTTGTGGGGGGCCAAATCTCCGACGGAGGTCTCGTCTTTTAGAGACCGCTTCATTGTCGAAGTTTCCCCCTCGCGTGATGAGACATTTGGATTTTTATCGACCTTTTCATCCCGGCAATCCATCTTCGGGACAACAAATTTGGTTGTCGGATACAGGCAGTGGTGGCCTGTCAATCAACCTGGTCACCCGCAAACCCGGGATGACCGGGAGTTGACCCGCTGCACCTTAGTGTGAAACTGTAATTGTGGCATCTTAGGGGAGGGTATATATGTTTAGCCAGCTTGATTTTTATCTATTGATATCGATCTCAGACTCTGTACCTTTACAGGTGAAGATCAGAATAGTGATCGTTGTGACAATGGAAGTAGACAAATTTAGAGTAGACAATGTGTGTGAAGGTATCGGTAGAAATGTCTGACTAAGCTGAATTTAGTTATGAGACGACGATTGAGTTGTTGTCATGTCTGTTTTGGTGGGTGACAAAGTTGAAGTACCGGTAACTGACTGGACGAGTTTGTATTGACAGTTGTACCTCCTCAGGTCTTTCAAAGAAACTCATGTAGTGCTCTACTCAATACAGTAGTGACCTAGATACAACGTCTGCATGTTTTCTATAGGTTTTCAGAGTTACTAACTTTGTGAAAAACTTTTTACCCTATTTAACGTATGAAAACTAAATCAAGTTTAACTGACAGTTACACTTGTGGATGATCTATGTTCACATTTCTTTTTATGTATAGGAAACAATATTGAAACAAGTCACTGAATTTTGCAACGTGACTGGACGTCGTGGGTTCAAACCTCGACTGGGTCATACTTTCAAAATGGTACATACAGGTTCCTGTGCTGATTAAAATTTAGTGATTATTCAGTTCTCACGAGTTGAACACACACCCCTACCAGTGGACTAGCCTCCTGCTGTAGTGCTTAGACAACTTTGTGGCCCTATACATTGAAAGGTATGGGAAGGATTTAAACTTCTTGTGTGCCTTTCCCTCGTGTTCTAATGCTGTGGATTTTGTGTTTCGCTGCAGTGTCTCCCGTGATGCCGTTCCACCAGCCAATACCAGTTGACGCTCGGACTAACGAGGGACGGTACACGTTTGACCCCCACAACGTCTACCATGTGCCCATACACAGGTACGTACGCAATGTTCTATATAAAATGATTGTGTCAGAAAGTTTCACTAATATTGTAACGATTTTGAAAATAGAAGGCATTTTTTTGCCAACAATTTTTAAAAAGATTTAGGGTTAGATTTAGAAATAGTCACAGTTATAAAGAAAAAAACTATGAAGAATTGACTTCAACACAACTTTATTTTCCCCACAGTCCGCCCTTTGGTGGCAGCCCTGTGTTGTCGGATGTCTCCATGTTGCGGCTCACCCCCCACAGACCACACAGTGACCCCACATCCCCCTTACATGGCCCCCACCCTGCCTTCAGGCTAAACCCCTTCTTCAGCCCCTACCATGGAACCCCCCCACTGTCTGCCCTGTCCCAGGCCAGGGGGCTGAGTCCTCACGATGGTGAGTATGGAGTTTCCTCACCGCTATTTACTGTAATAAAGAGAGAGAGATTTTCTGTAAATAACTTTACGTTCATGTAACAAAAGTTTGCGGCCTGAGAAAAATGGACATATTCGAAAGAACTATACCTTCATGGTTCAGGTAAAACACTTGGTTGTGTAAAAAGAGTCTCTTCATTCAGTGACTTACCAACCTGATGAAACTATTCACGGAGCTCACATTCTACCTATTCTCATCCCTGTCCAGGCATGACAGCAGCAGAGTACTACCACATGGCAGCCATGAGCCAACAGCGCATGTACAGTGACATGCCTCCTCTCAGTGGTGGCAGTGGCAGTATAGCCATCGACCTGCCTACAGACGGTAAGATCAGAGAATAAAGGTTTATTGGTTAAACATTACCCGTGCAATCGTAGCATTTTTTGTAGCGCAGAATTGATGTAGGGTTTACCATCACAAATTACACATATTACAATAACATATTTGCCCCCCCCCACACACACACTTTTTGTGGAACTGTCGCAAGTGTCTGTTGGGCTGCCATTTGGCACTACCAGGTGACCTCAATGCAACTTCTAACTGAAGATAGGTACCCATTCACACCTGGGTGGAGTGAGGAAAGTCGTGTAAAGTGCCTTTCCCAAGGGCACAACGTCGGGGCGCATGTCCAGACATTTCCCGGGTACAACTCGGGATCGAACCTGCGTCTCACCATTTCATAGCCAAACACTCTACATGTAACACTACACTACAAAACCATGCCTCAAGGTTATGTTTTGGTAGCGTTTCTGTGTGATGGTATTTGTGGTTGAACAGCGTAACTCTAGAAGCTATGGGAGGACTGTTTTGAAATCCAGTATGTGGTTAGGCATTGATCATGACCTGTTGAAGAAAGGATTAGATTTTTAGCCCCTGTTTACATCTATTGAGTATTGTAAAATAAATAGCTTACACTTGCAAGATACAACTTATTCAACATATTTTAAAAAAATGTATTTACATCTTCAAATAATTTTAAGACAATTCCTGTGAATTAAATGTTGTTGGATACTATATTTTCTTCCTTGAAACAATTGTAAGTTAACAACTGTATTGTTCTTTGTACAGCAAGCATTCTATTAACATGTGTCAAGTTTAACCTTGTAGAACAATTTGTATATTTTTTAAAGGAATTTGGATAATGTTAGTTGCCAAGAAAAACAATTCGCTGTTCCAAGTTGTCGCCTCCGAGTTTCAAGTATCTGTTTAGTCTGAAACAGTGTCCTGTGTTCTCAGTAACGAAATATCAACTAAGGGGAGACATTCTAAAACATTTCCCTCATAAGGCCACACCAATTTGATTTGTTGTGGAATTTTTCAGGAAAAATATGAAGCAAAACGGAAAAAACTAAAATAAGGTAAAAGCTTACATTGTGAAAAAAATCCATGTTTTCCAACTCATTAGAAAGACTGACAGAAAATAACACACCCGATGGATTAACTTGTTTTTTCAGGTTCAAGGTTCTCAACACCAAGAACAGCGGCGCGACACGGGCGCAAGCGTGCACTGTCCATCTCCCCGCTATCCGGGGAATGTCTGGACCTCAACTCCATGATCAGAACGTCGCCAAACTCTCTTGTTGCATTCATTAACGGCGGCTCGCGCAGTGGTTCGTCTGCGAGCACGGGATCGTATGGTCACCTGTCGGCAAGCGCTCTGAGGTAAGGGTACTAACTTTGGACATGCACCACAAAACATGATGAAGTAGGGTTAATCAACAAAATAAAAAAAAAAAAAGATGAGTCTCTCGATGTATAAAACTATGTCTGAAGGGTTTGACTTCTCTTTTGTAAACCTTGGAAGATATGAAGCTGTTGGTAATCAGCATTTTTATCTCTTTTCTGCCGGCAACAGGACTGAAGGTGCAGAGAGCAAGCCTGGGACCCAGTCCTCGGGTAACCTGCCGTTCAGCGCGCCCATGCCGATGTTCCCGTACCCCACCTCCCCCGCCATGCAGCAGTTCCACAACAGGCTCATGCGCCAGAAGAGTCCCTTCCACTTCGGCATGCCTCACGCGTCCCCGTTCGCCGCCCCCCTCCCCGCCGGTATGGCCATGTTGGCAGCACAGGGCGCCATGCCTCCGTCATCTTCTGCAGCTACACACACAGAAACAAAGGTACGTTAACAGACACATGGCACGGATCTATAAAGAACAGAGCAATGGTGCCCCCCTCCCCCATCTTGTATACTGATTTCCAAAAATGACATGCATTTGAAAAATGCAAAAGGCTAGGGAAGTTGCTGCCTTGAACAGTTTTGCTACCTTGAACAGTTTTGTACCTAGCATCATAGTAATCTAACTTTCTGTGGAGATCCTTTGAGTCTTACAAATAATGCAATCTTAGGGCACTTGTCTTTGCAGTTTAGAAGCTTTAAGTTTAACAATATGTATCCTTCCTTAGGGTAATACTGACTGGTTCTACTACACATTGCGGCTATTTGTTGCTGGGATTATACACTTGTGTATCAAGAACCTTGCTGGCCAGTGATTTACGAACCTGATAAAACTATTAGGGCAAGAAAAGAAACAACATCTAGCATTGACTCACACTCACTCACTATCCGGTTTAGCATCTGTTGTTCTCAACTTCTGAGGATTAGACATGCTTGCACAACAATTTTAGCATGTTGTGCTTCTTGGTTTCAATGTCAACAATGTTCCCAAGAAAATTTTACCATCTAAACCCCTCAGTTAGATCTACTGTTCAGGTCTAACTAAGTAAATGGCCTGTGTACTGGCCCTGACTACAGTCTGACATCCAGGCTAAGTCGATAAGCAATAGCCCTGTTAAAAGGATCATACTGTGTTCAAGATGTTGATGCTTTCCGCACATTTACTCTACAGACTGGAGAGCCAAGTTCGAGTATCGTCAGCAGTACCATGGAACCGTCGGAAAGCAAACGCTCCAAGGTCAAGTACGAGGGTTCACAGGGCTCTCCGGACAACGTGCCTTCGACGACATTCCCCGCCGAGTCCCGGTCCGAAACCAGCATGGCGGAGGGGACCAACGAAGACGCGGAACCTCCTGTGTATGAGACCAACTGTCACTGGGACGGCTGCAGCAAGGAGTTTGACACCCAGGAGCAGCTAGTCCATGTACGTTGGTCTTGTTTGTTTGGTTTGTTTCGCATAACTGGTAAAACGTCTTTAGATGTACAAAACTGGAGAACACACCAGTTTTCTGTACAAGCTGCATAAAACTGGACTGTAAGGTTTGAGCCACTCACACCGGAACGGACCACTACTCTTTTCACTAAGTGTGCTATATTCCCATTAAAATGACTTTGTCTTATATGTTTATGGTTCTACTGCAAACGCTGTTGTTGCGTCAAATATTACTACATTTGGAAAGGGAGAAATAAAGATTAATTGAGGAGGCAAAGTAAACGTGATTTGCAATATATTTGTTATATCAAGGTTGTGTTTTTGTTGTTTGTGTGCAGCATATCAACAACGATCACATCCACGGTGAGAAGAAGGAGTTTGTGTGTCGGTGGGCCGAGTGTACGAGAGAACAGAAGCCGTTCAAGGCCCAGTACATGCTGGTGGTGCACATGAGAAGACACACTGGAGAAAAACCTCACAAATGCACGGTAAGAAACTATCAGTGGGCCATGCCACACTCACACACTCGCTATCCGGTTTATCGTCTGTTGTTCCCCGTCATCAGAGGGTTAAACATGCTTGCACACTGATGCTGAGGCTTGATGGCAGCCCGCCAATTTAGTTAATTTTACACAGACCACTGAGAGGCCAAGGGCATGGAACTGGCTGCAGAGATACAGCGACAACCAATTTTGTTTCTTGGCTCTTAGATTTTAGAAAAACACAGTCTTGCCCAAGCGACCACCTCTATAAGCCAGTCATCTGGCCATATTATTAATGGCCGCTTTTTCTCAATCCCAATTCTTTTCCTCCCATAGACGTAAGCTCTAAAGAACTTGCCTGAGACGACCACTTGTCCAATGTGACGATATCTGAAAATGGATTTTCTTTTCAAAATATCTGTCTGTTTTGACCAATTGCTGACATTACATGTCTGTAAAGTCACATGACCTAGGTGCTTATTCAGATGAATCCTGTGTAAATTCAACACACTATTATTTTATTGGAACAAAGTTTTAGCTCCATACTACCTTTCACTCTTGTACTTGCTTTTAGCTTTGTAGCTGTTAAATTTGTTGGATAATTTGTTAAACCCCTCCCTTATGTGGTGCCCACAAAACATTGCCCCAGAGAATGATGTAAAGGGCAGAGTTTTTTTGGCAGTGATGGACCTATCAAACTACCCAAGCAAAAAACAATGGACACAACAGACAGCTGAACAATGATGATTGAAGGAGGTCAATGACCTCAGCCATAAATACATGCAGATATTTATGTATTGTAGGGAGGAAGGGAAACGATCGGTCACTACCGAGAATAGCGCAGGACATGACTGGTGCATTCCAGGGATGTTTGGTCCACTGTGGACAGAATTCCGGTCACATGTGTCCACTTGTTGATTGAGGATGCATCTTTGGTCAAAGTTATGTTTCTTTTATGGGTCACTCATGTCATGTTCACTTATGATATTCTGCTACCTAGAAAGGAGAATGATATTATTGAAAACGAAAATTCCCTACCAAAAGCAAACCAAAGCAGGTTTTGTAATATACCGATCATCTAAATGCTGTAAATAATTTTAAAGTTCATTGGGACACTTGATTTCGTGGTAAAGGGTAAAAGTTTTAAGTTGACTGTTAAAACAATACTGTAGCAAACAATACTGTAGCACGGTAGTAACATAGAGCATTGTGTTCTCACTGTAAAAGCGTTGAACATGAAACCACTGCGATTATTAGATGATACACGGGGCGAATATCATATTTTTCAATGTTTTCTTAGCATTCAGAAAAATGCCCTGCGTAGCACACAGCAAAATCATGTCTGCTGAATGGGCAAGTTTCATTTTTTGTTGGAAGAGAAGCTTGATGGTGTAGAGAAAAAAGTCAGCTAAAATACATACTGTACCTCAACCAGGGGTTGGTATCTATCAGCAAAAAAACTGTCATAGAAGAAGTGACATTTTCCTAGGACTCAAAGGTCGAGTTGTATATAATTATCCAAATTGGGAACACAGCAACCTGGAACAATTTGGAAGCTTGCCATGGGTCTAACAGCTCACTAACAAGGTTAGCCGGCAACCTGGCTTCTATCAATGACAGACCACAAAAATCTAACTACAGGGTGTCCCACAGTCTCAGGCTTTCTTGAATTGGTTGAAAGGAAAGGACAATTTTACAGTCGTAAGTTACCAGATGGTTAAACTGCACCCTCAAGACTGTAGCAGCACACTTACGGCCATTTAATTGAGGACACATGTGAGCGCGCATTTTCGGCCAATGGTAGAAGGGCTTGCATCCCTCCAGCTCACTCCAACATGAGGTGGGCGGAGCCTGTGTGTTTCACTATGTGGGTGGTCTGCTTGCCGACACCTCTGGTCACAGACCTACACCAGCGATGGTAACCTTCCGAGTTTTCATTGAAGTCTTAAAAATGTCAGGAATTCTTTAGACGGGGCTCCTAATTATTCTGTAGAAATAAAACTGAACAGGCATAATGTCGCCCTCAGGGTAACAGGCTTTGGCCGGTGTACTAAGATTTAATAGACCATTGTTTGATGTAATATGGCTTAAATGGCCTAATAGGTGCTTACATGTGGCATTCACACTATAACAAAAAGGCTATCTTTCCAGCGACTTTCTATTCCAGCCAAAACAAACTTAAACTTCCTAACCAAACATACGTTTCACCTTCAAGTCTAACACATGGAGTTTCCAAAATGATGGAGCCTTTTAAGTAAGTTAGCAGGTGAAAAACCTAGGTGTTTGGTTGTATAGTGTAATATTTGTGGTAGTATGTCTGGTGATATTTGGAACCCTGTTCCCCTGTGTGGTGTGTGTATACTGGCCTTTTATGTTCCCACATTGTAAGGCTTGTCTATCATGACATTCACTATATGTCACACAGCGGAAGCGGCTAACACAAGGCAATAGACTTACCAGCAGCTGTAGTTAAAGCACAAAGAAGAAACCATTGCTAGCTTGTCACGAAAGGGTACAAACAGTGGAAAAGGGTGGCAAATGACCCCAGGCAGTTTTAGTTTAGTCCCCTGTAACTCTAAGTTACAACTATAGGAATGAAACCATCAAAATTGTGTGAAAATCTTATTACTCTCTTGTACAAGGTAGCAAGGAAACAGTTGAAGAAGTGGAACATTTTATGGTTCAAGTTGAACATTTTTATTATTCTGTTTAAATCAGTCAAATCAGAAACTTAAATTTGATTTTTTTAAAGAACTAAACTGTTCTACACAACTACAAGTTCAACTTGCACTGTTATAGAGAAGCTTTCAAATGTGACTATTTTCAGCATTTAAAGAAAATTTCTGATTTAACATTTTCATTGGCACAAGTGTCATAAAAAACAATGGCTGGATGTTAATTTTGTTCTAGCTAGGAGAACAAAATTTGCAGATATAATAAGCTCATGCTAAAATTTTTACATGTTGTGGTATTTTGGATAAATCGTCATTCGAGCACTAAAAGAATAGGTATATTTCCATTAGCCCTTCAATCTCTCTCATACATAGCCAAGAATGGGAAACCAGATGGTATTGAAAACAGCTACCTGGGGACAGCTGATGCCAGTTTAATAGCTCCACTGTCTCAGCCAAATAAAGTCATTCAAACTTCATTTAAGCCTTTTTACTCCATATTGATACTGGCTGCTGCCTCCCAGAGGAAATCATACTTGAAATTTCCCCATGGACGACTCCTGAATTACTTGTAAGTCACTATCACCAGTGATAGACTCACTCGCCTCCAATTTACTTGTGATTCAGGAATTGCAGTAGACCCGTGGGGTCTTGATCCAAGACCCCAGAGCCCCCTCCTAGTGGTGGAGACAGATTAGATGGTGTCATCAGGTCAAGTTGTGCCGGAAAATAAGGGATGAGGGGGCTTTTATGGTTGAATGGAGGTGGGGAGGGGGGCGGACAGGGTATGGTGATTGATGGGAAGTAAAGTATAGATGAAGATTACATGGCTTTTGGGAGATGGCGCAAACATTTCACATGGGCTAGCTTAGCTTCCCCAACCACCTCCATACATCATAATGTGATCATTTAGGATCAGCTCTCCACTGTGTTATTATGGGTGCCAAATAGTAAGCTGACTTGTTTTATGTCAGACGGAGTCATATAGTAGATTATGCTTCAGTTCAACTTAGCCGTTAGGTATGTACTATTAGATGCTTATTCATTGTAGGAAACCAAGTGAAATTGGAATAAAGATTTCAAGTCCCAATGCAGAGCTCAAAATGCTTTTTTCTGCACACCTGCACTGGTGACTGTAACGTTATAGAGTAAAGTACACAAGGCTATCTTTTCTTTCATGACCAGTGGAAGAGTAGCTCGTCTGTGAGCTAACCTGTTCGAGATCACTCTCCTTTTTCCCCCAATATCTGCTTGGAGACTAAACAAGTGGCCAAACTGGTCACTCCGCAGAGAACATGCCGATAGACCCTGCAGTTCTCCTCGGAGCGGGAAGTTTTTGTTGTTCATAATTGGGGATGTTTCGGGTTCACAAAGGAGCCAATCTTTGAGTCCTAACCCCATGAAGGGGTGGCCATTGTGAACTGACAGCTCCCTGACATATCGTGTTTTGTGGCCCCCAACTGTTGTAATTGGGTGTATTCATCTGAAGAAGATGGTCAAAAATAATGGCCAGGTCTAGAGTCCCTGAATGGCTTGGTCATAATCTTGTCTCCTGGACCATATTGAAAGCCGCAGTGTCCGATATACTGTGTGACAAGAAGTAATAGAAATCTTTTTGTCCAGTTAGTTTGGTTCTTAGTGCAGTAAAATATTAATGTGGATTCTCTTCCCGCTGTGTTTATTGTAATCTTACTTTAAATTCATATACAAATTTTGAAAATAGCAATAGCCAATAATGGCCAAGTTGCCCTGCTGCATTACTCGATAACAAATACAAGTTTGGTGACAAAATGTTTCCTCTGCAGGGACAAGGTTAACCAGTTATAAAGTTTAACTTTCCATTTTCTCAGGTATTTTGTTTGTTGAGTTAAAATATGATAATAACAGCCAATTGTTAATGTGCTAGTTGTTGTGCTGTACTAGCAATGAACCGAAGCCCTGAAATAGAAAATAGATATAAACAAAGTACATAGTATCAGCATTTGTATTTGCAGTTGTTACAACATTTTCATCCTTCTTTTCAGTTTGAGGGCTGTAACAAGGCGTATTCTCGGCTAGAGAACTTGAAGACCCACCTGCGGTCCCATACAGGAGAGAAGCCGTACGTCTGTGAACATGAAGGGTGCAACAAGGCCTTCTCCAACGCCTCCGACAGAGCAAAGCACCAGAACAGAACACACTCCAATGCTGTAAGCTATTCATGTTTTATCAAATAAGAACTTTTCCTGCAGTCTTTGAAGTACACATTTAGTTGATATCTTTATATACTGCATATTCTATTTGTATATTATCTGACCCTGACCTCTTCTCTATTTTGTGTGTAAAGAAAGGCTCAAACAAATAGAAACATTTTTGAAACTACCTACAAGTTGCTATAGTTTTGTGTTGATATCTCACAGTTCCAATGTTGCAGGGGATTGTGGGTAGGCTCAAAGGGTTTATGGCTAGGCTCAAAGGTGTAGGCTACTCAAAAGTGACTAGACGAAAATTGTTTAATAGCGAGAGACCTTACCTCAAACCACAATGTGTCATAATTTCATGGAACTGCAAAATGACTTGTTTTGTTATTACCATAATGATGCTATGAGCGATTGTTGAATTTGTGTTATTTTCTTCTGCCTACCAGAAACCGTACGTGTGTAAAATCCCTGGCTGTACCAAGAGATACACGGACCCCAGCTCGCTACGAAAACACGTGAAGACAGTCCACGGTCCCGAGGCGCATCAGACAAAGAAGCACAAGACCCTGGGACCCACGCCGCGCCCGCGGGACCCACCGTCGGACAAACGAGACCAGGACTCGGTCAGCTCGCCCCCGGACAGTAACGGCGTACACAGCAGTACCACAAACCCCGCTGCTTCTCAAGGATCACCTGGACAGAAACCTACTGATGGTCACAAGCCGGTAAGTCTATGGAGAAGAATTTCAGTCACAGAGTACTGTTGCGCTTTCTTAAGTCTGGAGTTCAGCCTTGTCGGTTGGGAAACAGGAAACACAACATTTTTTTCCTTAGGCCTGCTTTAGTCTGCTCCAAAGACTGAACTCCAAGCCACTTTCCCTTGCAAGTTCAGAAACTTTTTATTTCTCCTTGGTGCTGTTTTAGGCTAACGCAGAACTAGTATAGTGATGCAAATTTGTGTTAATGCTTCTTCCTTTACATGTTTTTCATAGTCAGTAGTGCTTGACATGACATAGGTTTGTGTAAAAGAGGGAGGTTTGCCCATCATTGTTTTTACTTTTCCAGTTTTGGATTGTTAACTTGTCTACGTCCTCTAACTCAGCATGCTCTTTGTCCACATCAATAATCTCCTAAGCTATACTAACGGCTAGATGTTTAGTTTAGTTTTTCCAATAACACATGTCCTTGAAGTTTTTCCAGACTTCTTTGACAAGCTGAACTAACAGTGTGTCTGTGTCTGTCTCTTGATAACCCAGTGTGGCTTTCCTTTTGGTGACAAGGAAAGAGATGGTGGCAGTTGAGGTACCTCTTACCAGTCTTGCTGTGTCAGACTTCTTTTTTATTTTGTTACCCTTTTGATCTGTTCCAATCCTTTGTCCTCATGTTGCATGATGCCCCTTTAAAGAATGATTACCCAAGCAAATAATTCTAATAGCTTTAGATCAAATGGATGACTTTTCATAGAAGAAGGAATTAAAAACATAGTTATGTGTAATTCCTGAAATCACTAAGCTTTGATCAAGGTGGGTATGGAATGATTTTCATCAATTTTTTGGACAATTCCTACAAAAGTAAATGAATTTGTATATGGTATGATATAAACTGTAAAAAATTTTTTTGTGCACCTAATTTTTTTTTTAAATTTCGAGCCCTCTAGTACAAGTTGTACAGGTTTCACCCTACAGTATTGTTTTTAACTGTGAAGATCCTGCAATCTTTGCTCTTTACAGTCCTGCAAACTTGAATGAATTTACAGTATCTTTCCTTTGTCCCCCTCCCGCTCCAGACCGGCCAGACGTGCGATGCCCAACAGTCTGTTTACGGCTCGTCCCCACACCACGACAGCGGCGTGGAGATGAACGCAAACAGCGGGAGCCTGCCCGACCTCTCCACCATCGACGACCAGGTCATCAGCGACAGCAGCATCAGCAGCACCGTCCCCACGTCCCACGCCGCCGAACGGGAGGGCGTGATGGTGGCGGCGCGGCCCGGGCTGGTACCTCGGGCACCGCGCATCGGAAACAAACCTGTGAACCAAAGAAGAAGGATGCGACTAAGTGGCAGCACCCCTGGTCCGACCTCCCCACCCAGATCGGACTCTGTACAACTACCTCCTATCGAAAAGACAGGTGTGTATTTTGTAATTTGGAAGTGTATTGTAGTTTGCCATTGGCCTCACTACATTATTATGAAACAAGTTTGAACTGCAATTGCCAACACAAAAAATTTTATTTTATTTTTATTTTATTTTGTTTTATTTTTATTTTATTTAAAACTGTGTCGTTCTGTCCTCTTCAGGTTCAAGAGGACCGAGTGCTCAAGGCTCGCATTCTTCGGTTGAGGCCACCAACAGAAGAACGAGTGAGCTTCGCGCATCAGGCCTCAGTCAGACGTCACGTACCAGTAGCCTGGGCAGCCTGGGTTCGCGGAAGGACAGCGCGAGCACGGTCAGCTCGTACTACAGCAGCAGACGGTCGTCCGAGGCCTCGCCCTTCCCGGAGAGCATCTTCTCCAGTAGAAGGTCTAGCCAAGCTAGTCCCTTCCCGGGCATTAACAGAAGAACTTCCAATGGGTCACTGTACTCGCCAAATGATTCTTACGACCCCATTTCACTGGGGTCATCCAGGAAGTCGAGCGATGCGAGCAGTTTGAGCATGAACGTGAACGAACTCGGGATCAATGTTGAACAGCAGCAGATGTTGCGGGCGAGGTTTATTCAAGCGACAGGACGGCCGCCTACCGCTGTCTGTGGCACCGATTCGCGACCCGAGAGCCGCCGAGGGGACAGGAAGGAGAAGGAGAATGTTGAAGAGCCCAACCCGAGACGGCAGAGTGACCTGGGGCACTACAATAGGTTAAAGGGCACGCCACTTCCAAAGGAGGTCAAGGACGGGCCTCATCGCAGGTCGAGCGCTCCTCAGAATAACGACATGGTCACGAATCTCCCCGACGTACCGCGTGACCACAGCTTTAACAAACACACGCCCCTCCCCCCAGTAACCCCCCAACCCCCACCCCAAATTAAAAAGGCCTTTAGTCCCACGAAGGTTAAACAAGCCTTCAGTCCCAAATCAGCCAGTACTTCCATGCAGGGAGTCGCGGAGGAATTTCCGATGGACTTGATCGAGAACGAGCCTGACGTGATAATCCCGGACGAGATGGTACAGTTCCTGAACTCGCAAACTGGCGACGATCCGAGGGAGATGGTTCCCAACTTTGAACAGGTGGGGACGACGCCCACTTTCTGTGAAGACATTCCCATGCCGGTGAACCCCATCCAGACAGACAGCTTTGGAAACATGGGATCTCCACAGCAAGCCTTCAGTCCCCGACAACAACCAATGGCACCTGTCCAGCAGCAACAGGCCTTCAACCAATCACAGCAGGTCTTGTCACCCAGTCGCCAAAGTTATAAGATGTCTCAACCAATGGGGTCACAGCCCTTGAGTCCCATGGAAGTCAGCATGGGTGCGTTAGACCAAAGTCCCAACCCTCCGACTTACAATGCCTCACAGATGAGTCCAGCTCAGCAATTCAGTCCTGCTAGTTATGATCCCAACTTAAACTCGCCCTCTTGCAGAGTTCAGCAGAACTACAACCAGATGGGTATGCAGTCTCCCGTGCCAAATTATGCAAGTCCGACAAGACAAGCCCAGAACATGGCACCAAAGCTCCCGACCATGCCGGCACAGATGATGAGTCCTCAGCAGCGTCAGCAGCAGATGCAAAACATGCAGAGTCAGCAGCAGATGCAGCAGCAGCAAAAGCTGCAGCAAATGCAGAAGCTGCAACAAATCCAAAAAATGCAACAAATGCAAAAGCTGCAGAAGATGCAGCAGATGCAACAGATGCAAAAAATGCAGCAAGCACAAAAAATGCAGCAGATGCAGATGCAGCAGCAGGCTCAGATGCAAAACATGCAAGTGCAGCGGCAGATGCAGAACATGCAAAAACAAACGCAGCTGCAACAGCAGATGAACAACCTGCAGCAGCAACGGCTACAGCAGCAAAACATGCAGCAGAACTACAACATGCAGCAGATGCAGACACAGATGCAGCTGTCTCCAAACGTGCAGCAGCAGATGCAAAACCTGCAGCTGTCGCCGTCCGGTCAACAGTACATGCCGGAGGGGCCGCAGCAGATGCAGTACCAGGCCAACGTCCAGTTCTTCAACATGCAAAAACCAGCCGGGACGACAGATGAAAACCCCACACAGGTCAACGTCGTACATTCCACTATCGAGCCACACCACTCGCCGCAGCGGGCTGACGGGGACATCGGCCTGGAGAACGCCATGCCAGGGCCGTCCCAGAATCCTATGGGCTTCCCCACTGGGAACGCTGGCTACACGCAGGACCAAAGCGCAAACTTTGTCGGAGGTGCGAACATGACGCCCATGGTACCGCCGGAGACACCCGGCTCTGCTTCCAACATGGTCATCAACGACATGAGCTCCCTCATGGCCTCTCTAGCAGAGGAGAACAGATATCTCAACATGATGGGCTGAAGCAATGGACTTTTATTCTGTCAAGATGGCTCAAAGACTACAGGCTGGGGTGGTTTGCTATGTGTTAAAAGTTTGGGGCTTCATTTTTATGAATGACAAGTTGTACAAAGATACTGGGGTATTGGTCAGAGTGACATTAAAGACTGATTTTATGTCATTCTTTCAAGCCCTCCAACTTCCCATTGATGTGAGTGACAAGAAAAGATAAATCAGATTTCAGAGATAAACTTTAGAGATGCCATGACTGGCCAATTTAATGTCTCAAGAACTAAAATTGTTGCCATAAGAGTATGGATGTGGTTCTCTTGCTTTTTGTAACAGAGTAAACATTGGTGCCATTTGCATAGTGTCTTGCTGTTGAAATCAGTAGGTAATGTGTATGTAGATATAGGGGTGTACTTGTCAAAAGTTATGCTGACAACCATAGGTGGCCATGGTGTCTGTCTGAAGTGCCTGTTCGTGCCTAACTGTTATAGACTGGAAGGAATTTAACTCTCATATGCACTGAGGGCAGAAGGTATTGAATGTTTTGTTTACTGCATTAGGAACTTGTCTGATAGTAACATGACTAGCCTTTCTTTTATTTATTCTAGTTCACGACACATGAAATGACAAGTACTTCTATTTAACAATATCAGCAGCCAAATACTTGCCACTTTACAAAGGTTTCCATGCAGAACCCATTGTATAAGTTAAGATATCACTGCAATCGCCCACTACCCATGTACCGGTAGTTAGAGAAAGGCACCTTCCTCTTGCTGCAGTGGGCATCCGTGTTGGGGCCCACTGGTCATTCACACTAACAGCAGCCATCTTGTTTGAAAGTTTTGGAGCTCAGTTTAGATGCAGTTCCACATTTGAAGCCATTTTAAAAGGTAATCATGTGCCTTGTCTATTAGAAGTTAATGGACTCAGGAAATGTACAAAGCACCGTTGTTTGTGTGTATGGTAGAAAACTGATGAATACTGTACTATGAGATTTTTTAAAAAGATAGCAGGCGTAATTCACCGGTGGCAACCAGGTGTAGCCAAGAGCCACAAATATCACACTGAAAGTTGATAAAATTGTAGGAAAAAATGACATTGTGATCATGATCAAAACTTGTATATTTATGAATAGCTCTTTGAAACAGTAACAATTGTAAAGCCCTTGTGAAGTTTTGCTTTCTTCATATTTAGGACACACAAGTTTTCAACAGACAATAGTAGGTATATCAAAGAAAGTGTTATACTGGCTAGCCTGAGTGGAATTTAGGTTGTTATCACAATCATTGTACATATACGTGAAACTCTATATTCAAACGAGGAGAAAGTTTTCAGAGAAGATATACATAGAACTGTTACCATGCTTCATGAAGTACAGAACCATGTAACATAAGTGAAGTTTCATCATGAAGAAAACAGAAGAATGTTTGCAAATCATGACCATCAAGAATGTGAAATTATAAGTCTTCCCTGATTGAAATTATAGCCTGTACAATAGTGCTGTACTGTGAGTGCACTGAACAAAATGCCATTGTCAGTCATGCTCCATGTTAAAACACATACAAACTGCAATATGTTCACAGTAGTCCTTTTCAACTGTATGCTTGTGCACATTTAATGAATTGTTTTCAAAAAGCAGTCCTACAAATTGCCATCACCCACAAATATGCTGAAGCATTTAAGAAGGGACTTGAGCAAGTTTTTCTTGATAAGAAAGTTTGTTAGTCTCTACCACTTGTTGTAGTGTGATGGGAAAAATGTACAGTTGAAATATGTAAAAAACAGTCACCCTGTCTTCCAAAGTCATACCAACCAGCCATATTATTAAGGTCCTCTTTCTTGCCAATTTAAAAACAACCAGACAGCCATTTTTGTATGTTTTTAATACTAACCCCAAATCTTATATTTTTATGATAACCTGTTTTCTTTTGTCTTCCTGTAGCCCTGATTAGGAACTGTTTGTGGGATAGTTTTCTTTTATTGTGTCCATTTGTTTTGAAGATGCGAAGATTTTATGAACTTTCAGACTATGACCTTTTTGTATTCAAAGTCTATTAAATGTATGAAAGTGTATGAGCTTGTCTTGATCATTGCATTCACTACTTAGTATAATTCCTTCACTTTGGTTAAAGAATACTCAATTCACTATCTTAGTCTTCCAGACAGAAAGAAATCCTACTTATCTGATTCTATCTTTCTGACACATTTTTTAGGTCTAATGGTTTCCTTTGAATCCCGTCCACATTTGTTGCTTTGATGGACGTTGCTAGCAAATCTGGTAGTTGAGGCACTTGGTGTCGAAATCGCCATGGATTGAAAACGCCCCATAGCGGCTGGAAAATAACTGCATCATTAGGAGCAGGAGCTTATTTAACATTGTCCTGCAGTACTTCATGTAACTACTAGGCTGCTTTTGATCCATGCACCAATAGAAACATCATGAACAAGAATCAACCAATCAGAAGGTCTGTAGCTTATTCACCGTGCACATTTCTTACAGCTTGGATTGCCAAATATTTGTCTGTAAGTTTTGGCCAAAGTTTTTTCTCTAAAATGAGTGTTCATTTCAAACATTTTTTTAATCAATACACAACAGTAACAACGGCAATATGGCGTTGCACTCAAGTTTATAACTTATTTTAACAGCAGCAGTGCTGCGGCACACAACAAAATACAATTAACATACCATAAATACACAGGGTCAACATAATGACAGTGCACCAATGAGAAATGCAAATTAATGTTCTTGTTATCACAAACAGAGTTACAGTGCAAAGCCTATTTTTGATAGATTCTATCACTGCTAAACAGCAACTTTCACATTATGTAATTGTAAAAGAATATTACTGATAAAATACAGTCACCAACTTGTATAGTACACATAGTGTATATAGTATTATATGATTTATATACCACAAAGATACTTTGGCAGACTTTACAAGACTAGTTGGATAACATTATACAAATTGGATATACCCCATTCAAATCTATACACAACTGACAGTTTAAAAGAGCCACCTTACTTTGAACTCAGTACTGCAGTACAAAGTATAACATCAAGAACTTGGTAATTCAAGTTCCATGTCGACATTAATACTGTTTCTCTTGTCGCCTTTCAACGACATTCAGCGAAACAATTCTAAAAAAGGGTTTTTTTCTTCTTTCGATTCTTTTTTTAAAGCATTGTAGTCCTTGAAGAGAGAGAAACAAACACAATTGTTACAAGGGTGACGATTGGATGTTTCACTTTCCAGGCTGGAAAGGGTTGGGGTCGTCCTTGTCAAGGTCGCTCAGTGTGTGATTGACCAATCGGTGATGAGCTTCGTCAGCACGGATGGCCAGGATGACATCTCTCATCATCGCATCGTGCTGGCGAAAAAATTTATCAAGAAATTTATCAAACAGCTAAGCAAGTATTTATCAAACAACTAAACAGTAGTTACTGGTAACAAATGGACTACCTTAGCAGACTGAAGGTTAAAACACTTACAGGCAGACTCCAGTATCTCTTAGCCAGTGGAGGGGCTTCCATGTTAGACCACAGGGGCAGACGGCCGCTGTCAAAGTCCTGGTGGGACCAGAGATGAGGAGAGTTATAACGCATCAAACAAATCTTAGGCCATGGGGCAAATTTCGTGAGGGATGTTTCATTCAGATGTTTTGAACCTTTTTTGACACATTTTTCTCTTCGTAATGTTAGACAACTACATGTATAATAGAGATTTGGACAAAACTGGATTTATTGCTACAAGCATCCCATTACCCCCTCAGGACATACATGATAGGTGCCTTACCTCCAGACACTTTGTGTATGTTTTGACTGCCTCCTCCTCCAGGTACCCCACAAACCGATGACAGAACTTAGGATTGAGCAGGTACGCAGCTGAGAACAGCGTCACAAACGTTCCTGTAGACAGAAGATATAGGCCAGTCAATGGCAGACGTCACTGTTATGTTGCATAGTGTAGCACCCAATATGGCATTCCCTAGTTAATATCTTTGAAAATCTTTTTTCTCTTGACAATTTTGGTCCAGTTTGGAGACGTTTGGGCTAGAAGAAACAGATAGGGTCTAAACTTTCCTACTTTGGTCATATTTTGGTCATTTAAGTGTTTTCACCAATTCAGTGGGCATATTGAAAGACCTGAGTGATGAGGCCTTGCCTGCCCAGAGCAGATGGACACATGAGAAAATTAAGTCAAAAGTATGGTTTGTTTACTGTTATCAGCTACACCACGGCACAAACCTGGTTCAAAGTGTATTTTTTTTAAAAAGCAGAGAACCAACCAACCAAACAGGACAAACAGACCCACCTTGCGCAAAAATGACACATCCCCTGAAGACTGCAGACGGCTGTTTCAGCTGTAAGGCTGTCATCAGGTGCATTCTCTCATTCTCTGCCTCCTCTGAACACACAAAAACAATCCAGTGCATCAGGTTTGTTCTAAATTTCGTGTCATACAGAAGGGCAGTTATACTTGCTATACAGATATGATTATGAATGATACAGATAGACAATAAACTTTGAAATTTGAAAAACGCACCCAGTAATGTGTGGATCCATCCGTGGTCTCTCTTCAGCCGTCGGAGTGAATGCAGATGACGTGTCATGGCGGCTACCATCCCGGGAACGCCCGCCACAGTCTCCAGGAAGATGATACGCCTAGGAAGGTACGGAGGCACTCATTCAGCGTGCTACTGTAGTAGTTTGGCACCAACTTTGTATTGGTTTGAGGCTTAGGTATCAGGAAAAGATTAATTAGCAATTAGTTCACACATGTACCAAAATTAGTTGCAAATGTACCAAAAAGCATGTAGCTACTTACTGAAGCCATTTTCTCTCTGTTCTCTTCCCATATTTGAAGCCTGAAAACAGGTCAAAGTTCCATCGCATGAACTTCACAGTCCCATATGCCAACTGCAGTGACAGACAAATATCACTGTGACGTTACATCACCTGACATCATAGGTTCGGACAAGATTTCTCATAATATCCATTAACTAAGAAAGAGCAATGTAGAAAGAAGACTATAACTAAAGAGTTGGAGATAGGACTTTTACCTTGTCTGTGAAGGTCTGTGGAGGAGTATGGGTGATCACCACTTTGTTCACTTCTTCTTCTGTCCTACAATTGAGATCAGGAAAAGATATCAGGATGAATGAATTCAAGTCACTCTGGAAATTAAATCTTTATTGAATTTTGCATGAATTACCAGATGACGTACCAGATAGGGTGAGGTAATGTGTGTTGTCCCATGGTGCCATCATCTTTCACATCCATGTCATCAGGCTTCCCCAAACCCGTTCTGGGGAGAAAATGAGTACAAGTTACAATAACTACAATGGCTGTGGAAGGGTGGTTTCATCACCTTAGATACAAAACGTGATTTCAATATTCTGATAATTTCTAATATTGTAATAACCTGAAGTGTGCCAGGTCTGGACGATGGTCTGGATGCAGAACATTCAGGAGGTTGGCTGTCCCTCTGGCGTCTTTCCCCGTAACTGCACCTTTCTCCGTCGGTGTGGAGACTTTCTCAGTCACGTGTTTTGGGGAAGTTTGTGTTGCAGTACTCAGATACATTCTCTGAACCTGTGAAAGCCAACAAAATGACCAATATTTATAAATGAATTTTCAGGGGTGCCAGAGTATACAGTGCAATTTTATGGAATACAGTGCAATTTTACGGAATACAGTATAATCGTATTAGTATACAGTGCAATTTTACGGAATACTGTGCAAATCATAACATTATTAGTATACAGGTGTATTGATTTGACGCCCATGATGGACAAAGATTTTGACCAATTTCATGGACAAGAATCAGGATGTGAAAATATGGAAAGAGATATCATTAAATTTGTCTCTTTTTTCTCTTAAACGTTGCTGGTTCAAAATCATGTGAATTAGTTTCATTTCTATAAAACACACATTTACTTAATTTCGGTGAGGCAGTGTCTTCACTGGAGGTCAAAGGGTACGCGTGTTTTGATAAGGAAGAAACAACATGGCCGGACCAGTTAAGAGGTTTATGACCGTAGTTGACCGGACAGGTATGTCTTAAGACACAACACCACTCGTCTTAAGTACACCGCTTAAGTAAATCCCCGGGAAACACTCTTAAAAGATGGTACAATTCAAGCTTAAGAGGTGCCAATGAACTTACCAAAGAAATTTGACGCTGACGAGGAAGAAATGAATTCAAAGGTGCCGCTGAAGGCTGAAAACTTCTTCGGGACAACACCCCGCCTACCCCCGCTACATGCAGCCGAAGCGCCCGTCGGGTGGCCATGTCTCTTCCAGGAACGATCTAGTCCTTCGTAAGCAGTTAAACTACCGTCTGTTGTCTCAAATCACTTCTTAAACAAACGCCGAACACTTTCCGATTGTTAGTTTTGCAAGTCATCGGTCGTGGAACCTGCCTATATAAGATTTGGGTAGCCACGCCCACTCTGACGTAGGGTTACGTCATGTTACCTTAAATAGCGTCACCGGCGGCGTTAAGCCGGTCTGTACCGGAATCGGCTAGAACGCGGTTTATTGCGAAACTCGCAGGAAGTTTTCTTTTCGGAAGTCATTAAAAGGAGTTTTGAGATGTGTATAAGGTGTATGTTTTGTATTTGTTTCTCTTTCAGTGTTTTCTTGTGTCTTTTGCTTTTATTTCAAAACCGTTGAAGTGCTGGTGTCAACATGTGATTGTTCTATAACCTGAGCGCGTCACCACTTTTTTTATATATTAATACCCTTTAAATCCGCGCGAAAAAAAATACAAATGATCGACCTGTTGATCAAGGAGGTTTGTCGTGATTAGCTGGAGTAAAGCTGATGTAACGTTAGGGATACATGTGACCATTCGGTCACGGTCCCATGGGAGGCACTGGAATAAACTTCATTTCCAGATTGGTGAGTGCTAGTGCAATTCTAATGGCCTCTTTCATCATCATCATCATGATGTATACGTTTTGTAGGCCATGTCATATACTGTATACACTGTGACCAATGTCAGAAGGCAACAAAATTTCTTGTTTTTTTTTTTTCCAAAATCAGGCGAAAATTAATGCGCGCCCTGATGTCATCCATAAAAATTACTTGCTGTGGCCTAAATAATCCTACACTTCAATTCGTCCTGTGCGGTAAAATCTGTAATCCAACCCCTTTTTCTATTGATGTTTCTTTTCTCCACCTTGTAAGCGGGGTTTGAAAGGAAGTCTTTAAATCTCGATCTATCACTCCAACCTGACGTGAGAAGTAGCGTCTGGCCGGATGTCCGCTTTAATTCTTTGTGAAGATCCACTTCTTTATAATTGTAATTGATACACCGTTAAGCGTTAAGAATATTAAGGCCGCCCATGTTTGTCTCATTGATGGAATCTATCAATCTCAAGGTTATTCCATCTTTAGGTTTTGAGAGGGGGATACAGCATCTTTTTAAAAATCTTACTTCATTCAATTTATAAACTCGGCAACGAAAGAAAAATGTAAATGTGTAAATCAAAAGAGGCCAGGGTAACAAAAGGTTCAGACGGTCGACTTGTAGCCTAGCCTCTACCAGGCTTCAGAAGCGGCTGGAAAGAGAGAATTGTCCCAACAGATGACTTACTCTCCAAGCAGAGGTTGGTGGGGAAGATTGTGGCCTTTTTATTATATGCCTCATTTTGGGTAGCGACAGAAAAAAACGAGGCATATGATAAAAAGATCACAATCTTCCCCACCAATTGCAACCTCTGCTTGGAGAGTAAGATAACATACCAGGAGAGTTGGTCCGCCAAAGGAGTACAGTTTGCCGCTTCCGAGAGCCTGATAGAGGCTATTGTACCCCACCCCCTAAATTCAAATAGAACAGTCAGACAAAAAGACAGAAAGATAGAGAGAAAGGAAGTTCCGGATGTTGGGACCTCGCCACGGTCCGACTGAGTAATCGGGTTTTAATGGACCTACCTCAGCGGTTAGGGGTCACTGGGCCACGCGTGGTAAATCTCCCCAAGCATAGTCATAGCTAATCTGCAAGCAGATCCCTCTCGGTGGCAAAAAGACAGTATCAAATTGGCCAGGCAGTGTCCATCAGCCAGAGAAGGTCCGCAGCCACCGACGGGGGTCAGAACAAAAAAAAACGACCATATATAAAAATGTAACGATCATCCCCCCCCACAACCTCTGCCTGGAGAGTAAGTCATAGCCTCTTTCTTGGCTGCTACTTCTCACAAAGCGATATCATGTAAGCTTTTTGCGCCAAAACTGTGAATATACATGTAAGTAATCGAAATTCTCTCATCTATATTATCGTCGCTCTTTTGCTTTTTCACGGCGACTCAGCGCAGCGCGAGAATAAGTTACGCCCGGTATTTTTAGGAGGCATGATTTCTATAATTTCATTTCTTGGATATCGTAACGAATGATTGAAATCACCAGAGACCTGTATATCCTACCATCGTCAATGACCATTCAATGTCCTTGGTTTGTCCTAGAGTTGCTTGGTGGCTCTCTTTCCGCAAGAGCTATCAGCTTGTATCAAATGGAAAGATCGCCAGAGGGCGTGATTTTTGCAGGCTACATCAATTTTATCTAGAAGACCCGAAAACAGAAGAAATTGGGCAAATATGTCACCCGTCTTTTCAAATACATAACCCTTCAAACTCTTCAGAAAAAGATTGAAATATGACATCCAACAGTGGATAAAACAAGTACATATGGGCAGTTTGCGTCGTTTGTTTTATACTATATTTGATCAGTAAACTTTTCATAATATAAAAAGACGAAATTATAACTGTTTTTTCGTGTACGTCTGTTTTAACTTTTGCAACTTGTGAGATTGTTAAACGGGAGGATAAAATCAATTTAAACAATCAAGTTAAACATCCTACATTTTTTTTTCAAAATGACTGTCGACAAAATGCAGGTGTAAGTCTTCATAATGGATATGTCAACAAGGGAAGACGCCGGCTCGGACACACAACACCGTAATATTTGTTTCGGAATGTTTTAACCCAGGGGAGGTCCTGTTGTATGAGCTCTCCATCTAAACACCCTGCTCACCACGCTAGCTTATCCCATACATCACCCCTTACATATGCAGAACCGCTGGCCGCTTCTCTGAGAATAGCGCCGCGGGAGTTGTCTCTTTGTATAGCCAAGAATTGATTTTATTTCTCTAACTTGATGGAACGTTTTTCCTTTTCTCTCTGGCGTGAACCAGGGCGTCTGGTGAAAGAAAAGGGCACTGTGCCAAGGACTCCAGTCTCCACCAGACTCCTGTGCATGCTGAATAGATAGTAGAAATCGGCCTAAAAGTGGGATATAAATGGCCACAGGAGTTTGCCGGCCACAGAGGGTTCAGTTTCCACTTTATAGGTCGATTTCTACTATTTATTCAGCCTGCAAAGGAGTCTGGTGGGGTCTAAGTTGCCTCCAGGCGGTCTTTTACACACACTCAATGTATTGACCGTTTTACCTTTGTATTTTGGGGAGTGTTTCGCGTCTTGCTCAGCTGTACTGACCATTCTACAAGCTGATATTGAAGCTTTACTTGCCAATACCTCTACAGCGCTGTTGCCATGCGCTTGTTTGTCAAGTTCACCGCAAATGTCAACTTTAAAAAGGAACTGTTTTCATTTACACAGTTCTTTAAAACGTACTTCTACACACAGAGAGGTCGTTCTTTTGGCGCTACAGAGAGTTTACAAAGGAGCGGTTCGGCTTTTCTGTGAAACGTTTGCATCAGCAAGTGGTTGTGTGTTTGAAGTCTGCGGCAGGCGGTGTTTAGAAAGTCTGAGACTAGCTTTCATGGGTGACTGAAAGATAGTTCTGGGCGGAGAAGAGCGGCAGGGCAAAGTAAGAACCACGTGTGGTCACGTCCATGGCGTCAAAGAAGGTTCAAGGAACTCATTTTGTGTTAACCTCTGTTATTGTGTGTTTCTAGTATTCTCAATACATTGGCGGCAATCTTTGACCGCGCAAATGCTTCTTTTAGCAAGTAGGTTCAATTCAACTTACTTACAATGGTGTTACGTCCGTATAGGGACATTAGACACAAGTAGGTCTACCGCCCTCAGTGACTCAAAGTCCATTGGCATTGACCAACCTTCTTTGATACCTCAGTAGTAAAGATAACGTCAACCCAGTTCAACAGAATAGCTCGTATTATAAAGGAAGCTAAAAATGCGAACAAGATTTGATTGTGCCTCATTCAAAACTTGTCAGACAAATGCACTGGAATAGATGGATGATATCGGAGACCGACATTTTTGTATCAAACCAGGGATCAAACCAAACCAAGGAGATTTACCTCCCCCTATAAGTATAACCTCCTTGATCAAACCTTGCCTTTCGTTCTCCATGCTGTAAGGGGAGGGGGGGCTGAAAAAAGCCCCCCCCCCCCACCACACACAGTGAAGGAATGTATAAAGACAGGATGTGAGTCGACCGATGTTTACGTGCATTGTTCCGATACTTCAGAGAACTCCATAGATCGGGATCGTTCCACAAGATTTTACCTTTTCAGACCCGTTGGGGCGGAATGAATGTGACGGGGTCTGTTTCCCACAGCTGACGGATACGAGGCTCTCAAGGGGGTTTTGGAGACTCCTTAGAGAAACTTAAGAAACAAACTTTATCTTTGACATGATTTTGAGTGATAATTTGACATAGCTTTGCAATTGCCATCCATACGGAAGAATGTGGATGATGATAACACGTCCAACAGGGCAATGAAGTACAGGTACATGGAGGTAGCAAAATCCCATGGTACAAGTCATGATACGAAAGCAGTTTTACATCTACAATGGCTAATGTATTAGTTGTATTAATACTACACGGCTTAATTAATTTGTAGTCTCAGAAGGAATATGGATTTTCCTTTGCTATTTACATATAGAAAACTTATAAAACTACGAGCAATCCCCACGGGCTAGTGTTCGCATATACATGTCAAAGTCGAGTGCAGCGTCAAAACAGGGTCGAGTACGTACCCCTGAGGGACCCCCGACCGCTGGGAATCTCACAAGGCCACTCCAGGCGGAACCTGGCGTGAAAATCGCCTTTCGAGATTCATCACGTTCATTCAGACACCGCCGAGGGGAGTCTTGTGTGATGCACCACCCACAAGTTTCGTGTGTTTTGGACTTGCATAAAATGTAACACGATCTCAAGAAAAAATCTACACCAGGAACACTGTAACATTCTTTACGCGCGGATACGTGACGTTCGGGTGTACGCTTGACGTGTGGGCCTATGTTTGCTGTTTTCTATCGTTTGGTTCGGTTTATACAGGGCCTGGTGTGTACAACAGAGGGTAGAGGAACGCACATTCTTGGTCTCCTCAGGATCACAAGTGCCAGACAGCGCAGCAGTTGATGAAGCATTGAACGGTAGGTCTATTAAAAACACATCTCGTGTTAATGTACTACATAGTTTACGCCTTAGTTT